CTACATTGAGTAACATGTTCTAAGTAGGTTTATAACACCTCATAAAATGTGGAGCATAAATGTTTTCTTACTCTTGCACATTTGAAATTGGTAGTTGTGATGTTTTGGTTAAAACAAAGACCAACTAAGACCAATTATATGAAGTGTTTTATTGAAAATAATCCGTACTAACTCTTGAATATTTGTTTTTCGAGAGATGTTCCTTGACAGAGAATCTTATATGTCAAGAGGTTAGTGGGAGTCTAAATGGTCTTGAATAGTTTCAAGAACTAATCAAGAATAAACCTTTTGGTAATCACTAGCACACGACCTGAAGTTAACAACCTACCGTGTTGACATATTCTTGTTTTTGTGCCTATTCCAGTTGAGTTGACTATGCATGTGAGTTCTATGAGTTCTCATTTGACTGTATAAGGTAAAGCACCTTGATCAATGAAAGTACATTGATTTGTATGGGTGAGTTGCTCAATAACTTGGAAGCACTTGTAGGCCTTTGTGCTGCCGGATGGCAAGAAATTAAGAATAAGCAGGTTCAGTCCATATGAGTTTGAATTTGTCATAAACCTTGTCTTATGATAGTGGTTCGAAATGACAAGTTCACATGGATAGGAACAGATACACTATAAAATCTAAGTGGCAAGAGGTTTCTCTCTACTTCATGAAAATGATTGTGAGGAAACGTTTTCACTAGTAGATTTTAAAGGATTAAAGTTAGCAGTTGTGATATTTGCATTCTCAAATTCGAGTATGATTATGACATCCCTCTTCATAGTTCGAATTGTGAGAAATGGAAATTAGTTTGAAAATTCGGGACTTAATGCTATAAGTTCTGAAAAAGTTTAGACACACACATAAGCTATCTAATGAAAGGTGTATAGGCTTGAGAAGTCTAGATAAAGACTTGTCGAAGCACCACGTATCAGAAATCTAAACTGTGGTAAGAAAGTCAATAGGTATTGATTTCTACAAGTCCAGCTGATTTCTGAGTACATGTCAAAGCTAGTGGGAGCATAATTGTTATGCTGGTAAGAACATAATTGTTGTGCTAGTGGGATCATGATTATTATGTAAGGTGTTGCAAGTTAGCAATGCTATTTATAGGAAACAAAGTTATAAATTTGCAAAGTTGCAGAATTTGAAAATTGTTTCGCTATGGTAAGGCTTAAGGGAGAAGGAATTTATACTTCATTTCGAATCTAAAAGCTTAGATTGAAATTTTAATAGAACTTAGTCATGAACATATATGAATATTGTGTTGAAGTAATTCAACATAGGAAATTCTATATATGGAAATATTATAGCAAGAGACTGGCCAAGTATCATGTCTTTATGTAAGACATTATGAATCGAATCTCATATGCTTCGGGTATAGGATCGATTGCATATGCTATCATATTCGCCTGTTCTGATTTTTCCAAATGCCTAGCGCATTAAGAGGGAAAAAGGACTGGAACCAGATATGACTAAGGTTGTTAAACAACTGTCAAGGACAATCTAAGGTTTACCGAAGATTGGTTGCTTATGGACAGTTGGAAGTGTAGTAATGGATGGACCATACTAATATAATTCAGAATAGATAGGATTCTATTAAGAATGGATTGTCATATGACAATTATGGAAATGTTTCCATAATGGGAGTTGGATGTTAAGAATATATGTGTGAGTTAGTAATTTTTATGCAAGAAGGATGTTCAAGGAATGTACCTTGAATGTAAGACTTCATTTCCATGGAACTGTTTGGTAACAAATCTCCAATGGAATGCTTTGTAATATCATTGGCCAAGTCTCTGTGACTTTGGTGCCTTGACAGTACAAAAGGATCATTGCATGTAAGTTTAGACTCTAACACATTCTAGTAAGTGGTAAGAATTTGGTATTCTTACACTTGTGATAAGGATTTGGGATTGTGAAAAGAGCATCATTGGAAATTTGTCTAGTTGATCTATTTCACAAAGAAAGGACCATAGATAAACATAGTATGTGTGCTTGGAGCATGGAATGACTAATGTTTTAATTCAAGTGTATATTTGATTAGTCGAAACATTATACAATGAGTAAACTCTAATTAATATGGTGATTAAATAAAATTGCTTTTATTTATATTCAAAAGTTTTGAGACCATATTGGATTAGGTTACTCTTGTGTTTCACTTCGCATGTTTTACTTCCCGAATAATAAGATTGTTCGAGCATCCACAGTCGATCATACTTTGGAAGTAAGTAATGAGGTAAGACTGTCATGAATCCGATTGTAAATTGTCTAAGTGCTTAGACATAGCAAATGTTTGCCGTAGTGTTCGTGAGTACTCCTGAAATACGAACTTGAGTATTGGATTAAACCCACACTCATTTGAATCACTTCATGGATTTTATCACGAGTGATTGTGAGACGATAATATCTTATATTATTGAAACGGAGACATATAGTTGTTTTTTACAAGTCGGTTGCGCATTGATAATACGTGAACGCGCCAGTAACTTGATGTTATAAAACGTATTGTTGTATGTGATTTGATGAGTAAATAGTACAAGCATATGAGTCAAAGTTTATCCGTTTCTTTTACCCTAAAAGGGGATAAAAGCGATATATGTGGGCCCCTCGATGATTTAGTGATGACACCCTAAGCGCTTGGCCAAGCCTGGACTGATTTGATTTGTTCAATTAGTCAGTCGTCATAAATCGGAAATCGGGAAACAGAACTTGGACAGAGAGAATGATTATAATCCGTGTCTCATGTCCATAGGATATCTTGTAGAATGGAGGAATATTTGATCACTTATCTAAAGGACGCGTTACTGATAAGATCAGAGTTCGACAGCGACTTTTGAAAGCTATGATTGCTTATCAGATTCTGAAGTCATACTTGCAATAATAGTTATTAGACTTATCCAAATGGGAGACTGTTGGATTAGGTGTCTAAGCCCATAACTATAATTGGTATGTACTTGATTTGATTATGAGCATGATCCTTTTGGGTTGCCTTCACTCATGCAACTTGATAGGATGACTAGTAGAGAGAGAGTAGGATTTATTATATGAATAATAAATTGGTACTCAGAATGATTTTATTAATATATTATAAGATTAATATATTATTTGGAAATCATATTATTAATTATTAATTAATCAGAAATTAATCTAGGATTAATTTTGGGATTAAAGGAACTGACTAATAATGGAGGGGCTGTTTTGCAAATCATTGATAGTTGCAGAACTGGGTTATTGGACTCCTTAATTAGGAGTGGACGAAATCCTATAGGGAGGCCCTATAAATTTCGTCCAAGGCTCATAAGGAGGAGTCCATGGGCTGCTTGGTGCCTAAGCAAGGTATTAGGGTTTCCACCTGAAAACCCTAGCAACCACAGCTTTATAAACCCCCGAATACATGAGGAAATCGGCCTATGCTTGAAATAAAGAAACGCTGGCCGATTTCTAGTGTGTCTCCTTCTCATCCTTTGCATTGAGTGTTTGTGACTCCATTAGAGGTGCAACACTTGGGGCACTACGCTTTCAGAAGTCAAGATCAAGCAAGGATTGTTCTTGTTATTACAGTATAACAAGTGAGGTAATCTTCTAATCCTATTTCATATGTGAATTTCGAAATTGTATGCTAGTATATAGGGTTATTGCTTTGGTGTTCATATTTGTATGTTCAATAGAGAAAAACTAAGATCCAAAGCAATTAGGGTTGCATTATCACATAGGAATGTAGATATGCTCAAAACTCATCAGTTACATAGGAATTGGCCCCTAAATATTAACAAAAACCACGTTTAGATGACAAAAAATAAAGTCATTCTCATCAACATCCATACAAATCCGTTTTTTTGTTCCTTTAAAAACCATTCCAAGCAACAATAAAGGAAATGTGTGAAAAAAGGGAATATACTTTCAAATTTGGTTCCGTTCGGTTTTGGAACTTAAAACTTAGTGTCGGAACCAGAACTGTACCCCTCTTATTCAGTTTAGTTATTGTTTGTATCATGTCCCGTTTTTCGGTTTCGGTTCCAAAACCAAATTCATCCCTTAACCTTTATAAGTATATCTTTCGAAAGAAAAAAACATGTATGTCGAATCTTCGAAATGAAGTTCAAAGGTATAGTACAAATTTTATCAGAAGTTTTCGAACGACAATACAATAAAAGGTGGGTAGACCTATATATGGATGTTATTCGGGTCGGAACTGGATCGAACCGACTCGAACCCGAATAACCCGAAATCCGAATAAGGGTAATTGCATGAACCGAAAACCGGACCAAATAACCAATACGGGTTTGGCTCGGTTCGGGTATTAATCAGTCTGGTTTGGTTATTACCCGAGTAACATGTAGAAGATGACTAATGACCTAATATAGTCGAAAAGAATCGAAAAAACTGTATTAGGATTCTATAACCCGAATAGCTCGAATAACATTTACAATATGATTATAAACATTGTATTTTATGACTTTTGTAGCTTATGATTCCATAAGAAATCTTTTAAAGAAACAAATTTGTTATTAAAAAATGATGTAAAGTATACATAATTGTTTCAATGGTGCAAAAAAATGTTAGATTTGTGTAGTAGGATTGAGTAGGAAGGCGACTTCGGTGATATGATGCAATAGGTTTTTTTTTTCTGTTTTGAACGTACGACTCGATCACATAAGGAGGGACAAGGAAAAACATGATCGAATCGATTGAATGTAGGTCATTTGGTGTTAGGGGTGGCAAATCGGGCAGTCGTTCCGTGTTTTTATCTAACACGACACGACACGAATTGTTTTCCCTCAACCCGAACACGACACGAAACGATGTCGTGTTTGTTTTCGTTAACACGAACACGAAAAAAATAAAAAACACGAACACGAAAAAACCGATAACACGAAATAATTTACCAAAAAAAAAACAATTCCATAATGTCATTCATAGTTCTTGCAAAAAAGTTAAATTAAACATAATAAATACGCATTTAGTGACAGAAAATAACATAAAACGTCATAAAATATTGCTAAATGTCTTCAAGCTTGTGACTCCATTTCTTCATGTGTATCATTGGCATTGCTATCCAACTTCATAACATCTTCTGTAAGATCTTGTAAACATAACTCTTCATCACCTACAAACAATATTAAAAACATATTAAAAAATATTAAATACTTTATACAAATGTTTCAAGAAGAATACAAATTACCTTTAATCCCAAACAACCAATCTTTTGCACAAATTAGAGTTTCAACATTTTCATGTTTCAACGAACTCCGATATTGATCAAGAACACAACCACCATTACTAAATGCTGATTCGGATGCAACCGTGGAGACGGGGATGCTCAAAATATCTCGAGCCATGGAAGCAAGTTCCGGATAACGATATTGATGAGCTTTCCAAAAAGAAAGTACATTTATATCTTCAGTTATGTCACTTCTTGGTTCATCCAGATACATCTCTAATTGCGATTTTTGAGACAAAGCAAACTCCTTAGTTTCATACACTGTGAACTCCTATAAAAACAGAAAATTAATTAGTATAAATTAAAAAACTTATGAAATAAACTAATTATAAAAAACAATTAATTACTAAAAACAACTTCTTACTTGTAGCATTTCTCTCGTGCTTTTACTAAGTGTCGTGTCATCTTTCTTTTTGTAAACACTGTTACTTGAATCACTTGTTGAAACGGTTGATGCTCTATAAGACATGGGTGATTCAATAACGTATTCACCAAATAGATAATGTAACTTCTCCCGAATACAATCACTATGCTCACGAAAACTGCTTCCATAGAGTTTTTTGTAAGTAAACTCAACATATTGCATTTTATAACGTGGATCCAAAACTGCAGCCATGGCCAAAATTGGACTATACTCGGACCAATATTTAGAGAACTTCTCATACATTTTGCAAGCCATTATCTTCATAAACGTATCCGAACTTTCTATTTCTTCTTTTAAAGTTCTTTCAACCGTGGAAACCGAAGGAAAATATAAGTTTGCTGTGCAATACTTATTTCCAGAAAAAATGCATGTGACTTCATAAAATACTTCCAAAAATTTGAAAATCTTTTCTAATTTACCCCATTCTTCATTACTTGGACAATCTAAGTAATTAGAATCACTTAGTGCTAAACGGAAAAAAGCACGACGATAAAAAAGAGCACTTTCAATCATAAGAAAAGTAGCATTCCATCTAGTTGGAACATCTTGTCGTAAGCCTTTTTTTGGATTCAAATTAACCTGTTTCACACAATTCAGAAAGTTTCTTTTCCTTATTGAGGATCCCTTCACGTACTTGATAAATTCTCTAATTTTGACAATCCCTTCATCAATAGCCTTCAAGCCATCTTGCACAACTAAATTCAACACGTGAGCACAACATCGGACATGAAAATAATCCCCGTTACTATGAAGTGCACCTTCATTACATAATTGACCTTTTAGGAGATTGACAAAAGTATCATTACTTGCAGCATTATCTAACGTGATTGTAAACAACTTTTTATCAATCCCCAATTGGTCAATAAAGTAGATATTGTTTCAGTTAAACATACGCCATTATGTGGAGGTGGCATATATTGAAAGTTCAAAATTCTTTTTTGCAACTTCCACTCCTCATCAATAAAGTGAGAAGTAACACACAAGAAACCGTATGTGTTAATAGAAGACCACAAATCAGCAGTTAATGAAATCCGACCAGGAAGTAACTCAAACAATTTCTTGAGTTTTCCTTTTTCTCTTTTAAACAAATTCAACACATCTTCTTTAGCAGTGTTTCTAGTAATTGTGGTAACTTTTTCATTTAAGTAACTAAAGATTTCTCTAATTCCCTCATACTCTACAAACTTAAAGGGAAGGTCGTGCTTGACAATAGCTTCACTAATAAGTTCACGAAATCTTTCGGGTTTAAAAACTGTGGAATTTATTGAAATGGAACCACCTGATTTTGCAAAAATGAATTGTGTTATGTCACTATTGTCCATTCTTGGACACTTTGGAATGTGATTTCTCAAGCTACCTGTCCCATTTATTGTTTCACAAATGTATCTTTTTTTGCACCTATCACATTCAGCCCTTTCCCTACCATCTGTACCAATTGGAAGTCTGGTATAATACTTCCATACCTCAGACCACCTTTCCCTTTCCATTTTTACATGATCTTCTTCACCCTCTACTTTAACATCTACCTCCACAACATCAATGTCATCAGCTTCTTCTTCAAGTTCAACATCCTGAAATAAAAAAGGAGGGTTTGTTTTCAGAAATTATATAATTAAGATGGGGAAAAGTTAAAAAAAATAATGAAATACCTGAGGAGCTACAACAGCAGAATGTGTATCTGTTTTATCAAGCTTTGCCTTTGTCTTATTATGTGTTTTATCAAGCTTTGCCCTCTTCATGTCAATTTCTTATCAAGAAGACTAGAAGTATAAGTAAAATCAGGTATCTCATAAGCAAATATGGAGTAACATAAGAAGTAATCAAGAGAAAAGATGTATACAGTTTCTCCTTATCGCAAAATCAATCAAGAATTATCAATCCAACAATCAAGAAATTAACGCCACATGAAAAAAAATTACCTTTCTTGCGTAGATTGTGGTTGAGATTTGAGAACCAATAAAGCAAGTATATGAGTCGATTGCGATTGTCTGAACGGCTGAACCAGAAGCGAAATTTGTTTAGTAAGCGGTTGTGTTTGAGAAGCAAGAACAGGAAACGGCTAGAGCATTTGGGTTTTGCGATTGCCGATTGTTGACTTGTGGTTGAGAGATGGTAGTTTAAAAACCAATAATGAACTGGAGAATCCTTTAATCGAATCAATTGAGTATGGTTTGCAAATAACACCGCCATCAATGGTTTATGGTTCTACTGAGTATTGAGAATTGGGAAATGGAAAACGCCGATTAAAACTTCTAAGAGTCTGTTGGGTTTTCAAAGAAGCCGATGGAAAGGCCTAGCCTAGGTCTTTAATCCTTTATTGTTTAATTAGTTTAATGCATAAATTTAAATACCTATTATTATTTTTTTATTAAATACCTATTATTCAATAGTGTAAAATGAAATTATCGTGCTATTATCGTTTTAGTATCGTTTTATAGTCGTGTTTCATTTCGTTTTAATACCGTGTTATTGTCGTGTATATATCGTGTTTTAGTCGTGTTGTTATCGTTTCTAATTTCAAACACGAATACGACACGCCACGACGTCGTTTTTTTTTAAACAACACGAACACGACACGAACACGAATTCGAATTTCGATTTCGTCCAAATTTCGTTTCGTGTCGTGTATTTTTGTCGTGTCGTGTCGACTTTTGCCACCCCTATTTGGTGTAGCAATAAAGATACGATTAAAAAAATGACTTTTCAAATTCGGGCCGGATATTTAGAACCGAATAAACCGTTATTTGGGTAACTCGAATCGAATAACCCGAAAACCGAATAAACCTATATAAATACCTAAGAACCGAACCGAATTGCTCATTGGGTTCAGTTCAGGTTTCAATTCGGTTTGAATGTTTCTCGTAAAAAAAAAAAAAAAAAATCTAAATTTACATTTTGCTATGTAAGTTTTACATGCCAGACAGTAATATCTTTTATCGATTTTTTACTCCAAAAGCGCTGACGCATATATTTATCTACCGACGCTATCCCCATCGCGTGAATCCCACGCTCATCAAAAAGAACACACAAAACGAATTGCGTGTCGCTCACTCGCCATCAAATCAAGAGAGCTTAAACTGCCAGATTCTACAAAAGCCAAAAGCCCAATGTCCATTCACACGAGATCCTCTGAATTTAAAAGGAAATCGAACCGCCTATATTCATGGTAAAAACTAAATTAAAAAGGTAATAATTAAATCCAGATCAAATACGCATCGGTGGATTGTACAAGCTTCATTGAAGCTTGTACATTATTTAGGAATTTCTATTTAAGTTCTGGAAAAAGACGATACCCTTTCTTTCTTGCTTGACTATATCACGCTTTTACCGATGCATCTGTAAATTTGTATGTTATATACATAAATTTTGTATCTATATATGTATATATATGTATGACCTAAAACCCTTTTTAAAAATTTCTTGCTTTCTTTCTTCTGATTAATTTATTCTCCTAGTGATGATGACGATTTGAGTTCGATGCTTCAATCTTGAGATTCTTTTATGTTCTCTGAATTCTTTTACAAGAGAAAAAGGTTTCTGGTTTGATTTAATCTCAACCAATTGGGGAAATCATGGACGAATCAAGTCAACAGGGACAAGATCGAAGTTCTTCTGCTTCAATTCCAACTCTCCCCTTACATGGTGGTATGTTTTTCTTTCTCATTACTGAATTCTCGATCTTTTAGTTGTTGGTAATTTGAAATTTGAATTTTTAATGTCGATTTTGACACAGGGATGATAAGTTGATTTGATTTGTTCTTTTTTCTCACGAATTTAACTTAGTTTATGTCAATTCCTCTTGTTCGTTATTGCGGTTGTACGATTTGGGAATCTGGTGTTATCACTTACAAATTTAGCATGATTTAAGGTTTTCTTTTTTGTGAATTGGGGTTGAGATTGATCTGGGTTCGCATTTTCAATTGTAGTTAAAATGTGGGTTTTGAATTGACTTTTGTTTTGGGTTCGGATCTTATGTCTGTTTTAGTGCAAACCCTAGAATTCACCCTAAGTTACATTTATATGTATCTATATTTTTTTTTCTTTTCTGAAGATGGTTGATTTTAAGTTATAAGTTTCTGTGTAAACCCTGAATTAGATTTTTAAACTTCATTAAGTGATATCATCAATTAGAAATACTGCAATCATGGGGAATGGATGCTTTATGTCTTTACTCAAGAATTCAAGATTATAGTGGTGTGTTTTCATGTAAAGTTTCTTAAGTGGTATTCCTTTTTCACTCGGTGATCAATTTAAGTTGCTAACTCGTGATGTGATTAAATATAATTAAAATTATATCCAAACACAAGGGTAAAATAGTCATTTACTCTAATAACAAATAAATAGTGATTTCTAAGTTCAAAATATAACTGTTCTTAAATAAACAGTACGGTACAAGAACATATCTAAACACAAGGGTAAAATGGTCATTTATTTTCATTCAAGAACATATCTAAACACAAGGGTAAAATGGTCATTTATTTTCATTCAGACCATTCAAAGAAAGAGTCTTTTTGTTTAAGTGTCAGAAATCACAGACTCTGATAATCATTGTTCTACCTTTTTGGATGAGACTAACAGCTGCAGTTTTTGTTTCATTGACATCTGTTCTTGACATTACATCTAACACATTACAAGTTCTATCTCTGAACTGCTAACTCTCTTGTCCATTACATCTAACACATTACAACATGTTCTATCTCTGAACTGCTAACTCTCTGACAAATTCTGACACTTGAAACAGGTGATGGTCCTTCGGCTGATAACCGACTAAATAAGGTTTTTTTTTTTTTCAACTTTAAAGCTTTTATTCATGATCTTTTTAAAATTTCTTTTTTTTTCTTAGCTTAAATAACATGTTATATTAATACATTATTTTTATTTTCAGCGGAAAAATGAAACAACTGTTTCTTTGAATCCTTCTGTTGATGCAGCCAACCAATCAGAAGCCTGGAATATGAGTCGAGCTCATACCCCTGTGATCTCATCAAACACTTACATTGCTCCAGAACAAACATACTATTATGGAGGTCAGTTTACAAAAAAAAAAAAAAGAAAAAAAAAATCAGTTTTACTTTGGGGATTTTAAAATTTTGACTTAATTATCTTGTAAATTTAATCAGGTTATGATGATGGATTGATTAATTGGGGAGAAGGTTCGAATTATGTTCATACTAACAATTTGCAAATTATGTCCCCGGTAAGAGTCCATTTGTCATTATAAAGCATTTACATTTTTCTTTAGGTTAAAGTTAAATGCACATATGAAGAAAATGTTTCACATGTCTTTTTATAAATTTATGCAACAAAATGGTTCTTTAAACAAAATATGCATCCATGTTTCATTTTCAGATCAAAATATGCAACATTGTAACTAGGACACATTTATGCAATAATGTTTCACTTTTTTTTTTTACCGATTTATGCAATAATGTTTCAATGTTTTACCAATTTATGCCACTAACATGAATTATGCAACCATAACTAGTTAACAAGTTATGAGTGAAATATTGTGTATTTTCTGTCCTAAATATGTAACCACTTTTCACTCCACAAAAAACTTATTTATGCGACAATATTTCACTTTTTAGTGATTTATGCTATAATGTTTCAATCTCTTACTATTTTATGCAAGTGACACGAATTATACAACCATATTTCATATTAAAAACCACTTTATTGCATAATTACACATTTAACCCTTTTCTTTTCGATTCATAAAACTAACCGTATTTTCTCCACCTTTTTGTTGACCTAATTCAGGCAATCTACAACGATAATTCCTCTCTTCTATATCATCCCGCTTTCACATGCGACACCCAAATCGCATACGCTCAATTCCCACAAATCGCAAGTCAACTATCACCAATAATGATCGATGGTCAACTCTATTCACCACATCAACTCCCAATTTCTCCATCATACTACTCGCAACCAATTTCACCAACCGATTATTATCTACAATACCCCGGAAATAACAATCTTGGATTCTACAAATTCCCTAACGAAATCACCCAATGTGAACCCGTATCAACCCAGTCGACCCCAGTGGGCATACTTGGCCCATATCATGGTTCTTATGAAGCGAGCCGGGTCGACAAAAATAGGGACCGAGTCGACTCGGTTAACTCGGTTAGCTTGAGCGCGACTACAAGTGATAGGAACCGAGGACCAAGGGCATTGAAACCGAAGGGAAGAACAACGGGTGAGCATATGTCAAATGAAGATTTTGTTACAACTTATGAAAAGGCGAAATTTTTTTGTGATTAAATCTTTTAGTGAAGATAATGTTCATAGAAGTATAAAGTATGGTGTTTGGGCAAGTACCCCACTTGGGAATCGAAAGCTAGATGCTGCATTTAAAGAAGCAAAGGAGTACGCTTCTGGGGTTTTTCTCTTTTTTTCGGTGGGTTTTTAGTTTTTGTGTTAATTCTTGGATAATTTGTTTTTGTAGATTATTTTATGATTGAAATTGTTGTAGGTGAATGCGAGTGGACAGTTTTGTGGGGTTGCTGAGATGATTGGAGGTGTGGATTTTGAGAAAGATGCGGATTATTGGCAGCAGGATAGATGGAGTGGGCAGTTTCGGGTTAAATGGCATATTATTAAAGATGTCCCAAATAGTCGATTTAGACATATTCTTCTTGAAAATAATGATAATAAGCCTGTCACTCATAGCCGAGACTCACAAGAGGTATTTTGATTTTGATGATGAAGGGCATTTATGTCTTTTGCACAAACAAAAGATCGAAAAGGGGTCATGTCTTTGTCCTCCCATCTTGTTCCAACTTTTTGGGTGGGACAAAGTTTGCAATTTTTGTCCTTTAGACAATGAGTCTGTGTCCTCCTTTTTTGGGACGAGAAGGGCATTTTTTGTCTTTTGCACAAACGAGATATTGAGAGTCGGGTCACAATCCCATCTTGTTCATTGTTTTGAGTCAGACAAGAGATTTTAATTTTTGTCCCATTGACATCGGTCCAATGGTGAGGACATTTACGTCTTTTGCACAGATGAGATCAAGAGTCGAGTTATTGTCGCACTTTTTTTGTGGGACATTTTTTTTTCTTATTGATAGTTCACAGTTTAATGCATGTTAAACACAGTATAAGACTTTATTATAATCAATGTTTGATCTTGGAAGGTTTTAAAGTTTTTTGATCACTTTGTGTAGGTGAATCTTGAAGAGGGTAACACAATGTTGAAAATCTTTAAAGAACATGATGCGGATACATCAATCTTGGATGATTTTAATTTTTACGATGAACGTGAGAAGTCTTTGCAAGAAAAGAGAACTAAGGAACAAGTTTTTTCTACCAAAAACACCATTGATGATGCTTCAATAAATCACCTTTCTGATAGAGTTGCTAACTCTCTCCAATTAGAAAAGCACAATGAGGTTACTAAATCTTAAACTAACCCTTTTCACTAGTTTGAAGGCCTTTCCTACTTTTATTTTGACTTTTGTCAAAACCTTTTGGTTCTTCAACCCTTTGTTATATTTCTAGCGGTAGGAGGTGGTGGTGGTTGTGATTAGAGGTGGTTGAAGCCAATTCCATTGTAATTTGAGTAGTTATGACAGGGTGGTTGTTGAGTTGCTACCCAAACAAGTGTAACATTATCGGTTAAAGGAAACGATCAAAATGGTTATCTAACAGTTTTCTTATCTGTTTAATCTATGATGAGTCTGGTGTAAGTTGTCTTCATTAACAAAATGGTATTAAAGTTTTTTAACAACTTGTTCGATACAAAATAATAGAAAAATTAGAACACGAATGTACATAGAAAACTCCAAAACCAAAGAAAAAAATCACAGATTTCTTAGGAGAAGAATTCACTATATATTTTAAATCATATGGACTAAAACTCTCAAACCAACCCTCCATTAGAGATTCAATTTACACCTTTCTAAATTTCAAAACTCCAAAACAAATGAACAAAAAAACTAATATCTTGATTGGGTATTTTGAAACAAAAGCCTTAAGGCTATTTTTAAGCATGTCATTTGGCCAATGTTTGAAAGACTAATCGATAAAATAACTATAGATGAAAACTAACTTTTTATTAATAAAAAATGACGTTTGATAAAAAGAATGAAATATATAAAATCATATAAAAAGGGATACAGAAGATTGAGTTTTTTATAATTAATAAAAAAATATAGTTAAGAGAATTTTAAAAAAATTCAATAAACTTGTTGAAACTATTACTTTGAAATGTAAACATAGCTCCCACAAAACAAGAAGATCATCATGCTTCATATCACAATTTCCTTTCTTTTTATCAACGTATATATAGAAAGAAATCATCCTTTAAATACAATATATAAAATAAAACCACTTCTATCTTCTTTATCTTTAAAAAGTCTTACATTACATATCAATCAATTGTCATGGGTACACAACAGCTTCTAAACCGAGCCTTCCTAACAGATGTCACAACCTCAATTTCAGCCTTTTCCAACATTTTAACAACTTCACTGAAATCTGGCCTCACACGTGGGTCCACATCCCAACAACGTGTCATTATTTCACAAAGAACCGGAAGACAATCATCCGGAATAGCCGGACGAATACCTTTATTCACAACAGCAAATGCAGCTTGTATATCTGTAAGATTATGATATGGTACCTTCCCTGTTATAAGTTCCCATAACACAATCGCAAAGCTATACACATCCACTTTTTGGGTATAAGGCCTATGCTGAATCATCTCCCTACATAAAATAATTACCAAATTAAAGCAATACCATTTCTAGAAATTATCATTACTAAAAAAATACATTTTTTTTTTTTTAATTTTAAAATTGAAAGTTTAAGTAAACTTACGGAGCCATCCACCGATATGTCCCCATTTCGGGTGTCATACCTTCGGTCCTCACCTCAATCCTCGCAATACCAAAATCCGCAATCTTAATCGATTGATCTTTTGAAATCAAAAGATTATCCGATTTCAAATCCCGATGAATCACTCCAACCCCATGAACATACTCCATCCCTTTAGCCACATCCGCCGCCTGTTTCACCGCCAATCTGAGCGGCACCGCCCTATTCTGCCGCCTGTTCAAAAACTGCCGAACCGAACCACCCCTCGCATACTCCGTCACAATACACCACACCATCGGTTTATGACACCCTCCGATGAATCTAACAATATTCGGATGGTTTAATCCTGCAAGCATCTTCACTTCCTGTTGAAATTGTTTCTCCATGACGTTTGCATTTGCCAATTGTTTCTCCATGAGGCTTGCATTTGTTACATCTAAATTCTCTTCTGGTTTTTCCAAAAGCTTTATCGCAACATCTTCGCCATTGTAGATCCCTTTATAAAGCTTCCCGAAAGCACCTTGAGCAAAAGCGGGACCCATGTTGAGTTTCTTAAGCTCAATGGTCCATTTTTCATAGTTTTGTAGACCTTTTGTAGGGAAACGAGGATCTAGTAAGGCTTGAGCCAATGCATCAGGGGTTGAGGTTGACCCATTTGGGATTCTTGTTCTTCCTCTGTTGTTAACAACACTATGGCCAACGCTATTAGTATATGGATTTGAACCATGGTTAGGTAAAAGGAACATTCGAGTGTTGGAACCATTAGAGGAGTTATTTGATCCCACACTGCTGTTGTCGATGGAAAATGCTATTGAACCTCCATTGTTGCTCATGTTCAAGCTAATGAAGCTTTCCATTGACATGTTTTCATTGAGCTTGAGGTGGAATTCTTGTGTCATGTCTTGGAAATTGTTGTTTAGGCCGATGAAGCCTGTAATTTTTTTATCCTCCTTCATTATCAGCTTCTTTTGGATCAATCAGACCTAAAATCAATCAATTTCGTGTGAAATTTAGTGAAAGGAACAAATCATCGGTTCAGAAAAGGAAAGGAAAAATATAAAAATCTTGGTTTCACACACCAGTCGTACGGAAAGACAAAACGAAGACTTTTAAACAGATGAAAAATCGATCAAAATCCTCCATTTTACAGTCAACGTAATGAAAGTTTAGGAAAAATACAAGAAAAAGTTTCAAATTGAACGATGATTCATGAAGATATACAATCATACGAAGCATGTATTACCAAAAGCGCAGGTGAAGGATTGTCTGATTGAGGAAGTTCCACGTTATCAGCAAGACTTTTCTCCTTTCTTCATTCGGAGATTGAAAGATGATCAAGAGCTGTGAATGGATGATTTTGCAGAATCGATGGAGTTAACGATGTTTGTGAGTGAACTTTTTCTTTTTGGGGACGACGATGACGACGAAAACACGGTGAGCCTACAGAGGTCCAAGAAGAAGACGAGGAATCGTTATTAAATCGGATCATATAAATATACGATCTATAAAGCTTTTTTTAGTCTAAAGAATTTTGTTTTACCTGATTAAATAATAATATAATTAATATTTAATATATTAAATAATATATTAAAATATATGATCAATAAATATAATAATACAATTAATATTTATTATATTATCCATTCCCGACTAATCAAGCGATTACCAAATATAAATCTTTATACTATGCATTGTAAATGGTTTAATCCTGTTATTTTCACTACTATACTATAGGTTTTAATGCAACTCAATGTAATAACAAGATCTGAGTTTTTAAAATGTTGTTCACTGCATTCTTTTTTTGTTAAAAGGGCAGAATAGTCATTTAAAACTGCTAATATGATAGTAGTCAGGGGCAATATGGTCATTTTGGATATGTGGGACAATATTGATGTGTGTATGTTACTTGAATAGCATCCCACTTCCATTAAACATAAACTTTGTGATCTACTTTCATTTTAAGTCATAACTGCTTTGACTTGTAAGGATTGCAGTTTTTAGACTTTGATACATGTCTAAAAGATCTACAACATGGCTATTCTTCACATCTTCAAATGCCAGCAAGGCAAGCTCTCTCCAACTCTTCTAGAAAGCTTTGCTGTAATTGTGGGAGTTTATTAGATGAAGGGCATTTTGGGCATATTAAATATTAGTATAACCCATAAATTTACCATTTTTGTTGGGATAAAAGTGTCGGAGAAAAATGACATTCTTTATCAAATCACAAAGTGTGTCACATAAACCCTTGAGACCTTTAACAATATTATACCATGCATCCTATGACAATCCAAAATTAAAAAATTAAGGCTCTCTTTTAATTTAGAATTTATATATCAAATTGGCAACAGGCAACCAAGAAATGTTATAGTAACAGGACTTTTGTACTCTTTTATAACATTTTGTAATTCCTTTTTATACATTTTGTAATTACTAATTTGTGATTCTTATTTCATGAATCACTTGATCTACAAAAATGGTCTACAATTATGATATACTATAGGTTTGTATAAGTCATATTTTATATAAGTCAATGTTTATTATTGGTCTACAATTACGATTTATTGTAGTTCTTTAAATATGGTTTTGCAAAATTGTCACAACTAGCCTTTTTGGCTAGGAAATTCCGTCCTCAAGTAAGCAAGGACTATTGTGAGACTTGGCTAACACTTCTAAGTGTACAATATGAGTTCCTAATGAGCCATGAAGTGTTAGAATGAATTCTCTCCAAGTATGTGAAATCTCTCCCAAATCTCTCCAAGTATGTGAAATCTCTCCCAATTCTCTCCAAGTATGTGAAATCTCTCCCAAATCTCACCCATATGTGAAATCTCTCAAAATATGTGAAATCTCTCCAAGTATGTGAAATCTCTCCCAAATCTCTCCAAGTATGTGAAATCTCTCCCAAATCTCTCCCATATGTGAAGTCTCTCCAAGTATGTGAAATCTCTCCCAAATCTCTCCCATATGTGAAGTCTCTCCAAGTATGTGAAATCTCTCCCAAATCTCTCCAACTATGTGGAATCTCACCCAAATCTCATCAAGCACCTTCCTTAGTCGAAATCAGCTCAAAACCGGAAGAGGAAACCCAAAAGGACCCTCTTCGTCCGGAACCCTCTTGGTCCTGAACCTCTTGGCCGGAACCCTCTTGGACCTGAACCTCTCGTCCGGAATCCTCTTGGACCTGAACCTCTCGTCCGGAATCCTCTTGGACCTGAACCTCTCGTCCGGAATCCTCTTGCTCCTAAACCCTCTTGCTCCTGAACCCTCTTGCTCCGGAACTCTCATAGTCCGGAACCCTCTTAGTCCGGACACCTTCTAAGGAACCGAGAAGGTTCTCACCTTCGGAACACCCCTGCTTCGGACCTCCTTATTGCTCTGGAAGGTGCAAGCTTCGGATGACCTCGCCTAAGACTCCTTCGGAATCCTTAGCCAACCTTCGCATCTTCGGTCCGGACACCAGACTTCGCATGGGCTTCGGAACTTGGCTGTGACTCCGGAATTTGGAGAAGAGCTTCGGAACTCGCCCAGCACCTCCGGAAATTGTAATACAGCTTCGGAATTCACATAATGCCTCCGGAATTCATCCTTTAGCTCCGGATTTTGGACTATTTCGGACCTTTTCTCCATTTTGGGGTATTTTGGGGTCGGGAATCCCACCAAACTCGTGTTTTCTTAACTAAGACCCCTAAAACCTCTATTTTATACCAAATTTAATTATTTAAATTATATTTACATAAGAATAAAAGGTTTAGGATGTAGGAAAACCTTATCCTAAATCAAGAAAAGGACAAGGAAGTTTGACTTTGTGATTTGATGAAGTTCT